ATCTATATATATGTATATTCTAAGGTGACAAAAACACAGTGATATTTATTTTCAGGTGATTATTCCTATGAACATCAATTTATCAGTACATCCTCCCAAGAAATTTCAATATGCTCCCTAATACTCTAATATTTGAAGGAGTGATTAGGCTTGGCAGGTTGCTCTTGAATTATGTCCACATAGGGAGGCATTTATCAAACTAAAATGCACTGTTGAAGCCGGTACTCTGGAGGCACAGTATGCTTTTAATCACCTCTATAAGAAATACTCTCCATACAAACACACGCAATCACAGCACACAGATACCAATCGATACACATTCACTATAAGGCTGGTTTGGGTCCAGCTGCTCCGAGCTGTTTGTCTGTACCTGCTGTGCTGCAGAAGCTGTTTCTTGGGACTGTTGTATGTGTGTGTGTGTGTGTGTTTGTGGGTGGGCAGCTGCTGCACCCAAGCACTGGTGGAGGCCGTCGCTAATGACCTCATCCATAGAGCGAACACCTGTGGGAATGGCTGACCTCAAAAGAGCTGCAGAGAATCATGGGACGGGACCCACCATGCCTCAAAGAGACACCAGGAACCATGGCATTAGCTCACAGCACTGCCAATTAGTGGTGTGAGCCTCTCTGGGTTTTTGCCTTTTGCAGACGTCTGTCTCAAATTGTATTCACACTGGTTTAATCAGGTTTGTTGTAGCTTGTTTGGGTGTCATTTGAGAGTGGATGGACTGGCAGCACAGCACAATGAGAAGCACAATGGTTAGAGAACCATTCAAAAGGTATTTTAACACATTTGGTATAGTTTTAATTGGCAGCATGCTTAGTAGCTTAACCTTTATCTTTATGGTCCAATGAACAAGCTTGTGTGTTAAAGGAACAGTTTGACATTTTGGGAAAATTGATTATTTGCTTTCTAGTGGAGAGTTAAATGAGGAAATGAATACCACTCTCATATCTGTGCATTAAGTATGGAGCAGGAGCCGGGAGGTGATAAGCTTAGTTTAGCATAAAGACTAGAAACAGGGGGAAACAGCTTGACTGGCTCTCTTCAAAATTCAAAAATCCACCTACCGCACCTCCAAAGCTCACTAATTAACACACTGTATCATGCTTGTTAAATCCGCACACCAACAGAGAAGTAAAAGTTATAATTTGTGATTTAGAGGTAGTTATGTGCTGTAACTGTTTCCTCACAAACAACAATCCATCCATCCACCCAACACTTTTGTGCACGGTCTCTGCTGGTTGCCAAACAGTTTCATCCAGCTTCCAGTAATTATTGCTAATCTAAGTTGATTTCTTTCTGGCTCCAAACACATTAACTCACAGAGAGTGGTATCAATTTTTTTTTCTCTATGTCAGAAAACAAACAAGGTATCTCCCAAACAGCAAAATAGGCCTTTAAAGGCTCTTCAAATGCATTCACAAAAAGCAGCTCTAGAAAATACCATGTGCAGAATAAGTCTGTAAACAAGCACATGGACAATGCAGCAATATCTGAGGTATCAATATCACTGGGTTTCAGTAAATGAGACATTTGTCTGGCCATATCTTTGTTAATTTATTAAAGAGGGTCTGTGGCACTTAAAATTCCACAGATATCAAGCAATACAGCATCCATCCAGCATCCGATCATTAAATGAACTCTATTGTGCTCTGGACTTTTTTGGTTTTCAGCAGTTACAGTAGATGATGGCACTTTATCTTTCAATTCAAATAAATAAAACAAGAATTTCTTCAGTACTGTTTTGAACTCCTCTTGGCAGCAGTTTATGATGTATGGGGAAAGCTACTTTCTTTCACTGTAGGGTGAAAAATTGAGTTTATCTTTCTCACTTTCTAAATCAAGTCCTGCAGAGGGAGGAAGGGCAGAAGGACTCCAAGAAAGACTGCAGTGTCCTTTAAGCAACTTCACAACCAGTCTGTTCAAAAATAGAAACTCACTGTTTGTCTGTATTGTCCTTTTTATATCCCTTGCTCTATCTACTTTTATCATTCTGTTGCTATTGCTCTCCCTGTGTTGTTCTCTTAACTCATCACCTTCCCATTTCTTTTTTCATTTTGCCACAGCTCTCTTTTTCTGAGTTTATCTTCAAAATACCCCATTCTTCTCTGTTCTCCTCCCTCCACCCTCCTCTCCTACTGATGTGGCAGAGGGAGTGGCAGAGAGGGAGGAGGCTACTTCTGGAGATTGCGTTGAATAATACATGCCTGCTAGAGTGGAGCCGAGGAGGCTGACATGGATGGAGGAGAGACTATTGAACTGGATATAGAGTTTTGATAGCATGTGAATATGGAGCATTCATTATTATGAGCTATGAGAAGCCAGATTAGTTACAGAGTGGAAATATGATATATGATAAATCTGTTAGATTGACACATGCAAGAAGTGTGGCAGCACATTTATTTTTAGATTTGCATGCGTTCCTAACCATGCACACAGACACATCCATCAACATGTTAACAGCCAGTGCATTGTGTTAGTGGTTGAACCTCATTTCCATATATGTGGTAGAGGAAGCAGTGTGTGTGTGCGTGTCCACTCCAGCAGGCTCAGATTCGACAGATATGAGGGGTCACTCCTGCCCTGTAGCCCATGTGACCTCATCAGACAGTGTTGAATTATGGGTAGTGGCACTTGGGTCTCACAGCTGTCTCTCTGCTTAGGGCAGAGTGATAGTGAGTCATCTCTCACTCTCTCTCTCTCTCTCTCTCTCTCTTACGCACACACACACACACACACACACACACACACACACACACACACACACACACACACACACACACACGCACGCACACACTCACAGAAACTCAGCAGCTGGACTGCAGGGTAGCTGACATTTAGCAGTGGAAGAAAAAAGCAGTGAGTGTGAGCTGGATAAAACAACAACAGAGCTGCAGCCATGATGGTATCAAACATGTCAGAGTACCGCAGAGTGGAAACACAGCAAGCAGTAGATAAACTTGTATTTACAGTGTACACTTGCTTGTAGTCTGCCCTGTCTCCTTGCTGCAACACATTTTGTTTACAGTGATAACAGTGGCAGATTTACCACTCATATTTCTAAATAAGGTTTAAAACAATGGGTCCTTGACTACAGACAGAGGTAGAAAAAGGCTCTTTTTTGCAGATTTTGCAGACTTAACTGCCAGCTGGAGATGCTCACTTTAGCAGATAAACTCATTGTTCAATCCATTCCTTACCCTTTTGCTCTTGTGATCTGGTTCTGGAATGCGAGAGAGACACCCTCCGAACTCTTTTTATATGGAGTATCTCTACAGTCTCTACATCGCCTAAGCATGTGGAGAAATCCAAAGCTTGCTAACCTATGACTGGACAGTTGCTATTTGAGGAATGGGTTGAACTGTCAGATAATGCCTCAATGTATTATTTTGAAATAAACATTGTAATATATTGTATTAGGTAATGAATGGTGCGTAGCCTATCTCATTTTTTGTTCTCTTCATCTCTCAGAACCAACAAAGATGGCCGCCATAAGCAACAGTAGTACTGCAGTGAACATAGCATTTGATGAACTGTCTGCCAAAGGGTGTGCTTAACTAAAACGTGTCCTTTTATAACCTACCTTGCTGGTGTAAAGGCACTGAAAGGTGCCTTTACACCAGGTTTCTGGCGTGATGGATGAAGCAATGACTCGAAAAACCAATCACACAGATGAAAATATAACACACACATCCTCTGTCTGTCTGTCACACAATACAGCAGACATAAATAGACTATCTATGGCAAATAACATGGCCCTCTGTGGAATATTTGATCAGAGACCAGCAAAGACTTAATTATTTAACAACAGGCCTTAACATGCCTCTGACTTTGGAAATTAATGATGGGTGATAGCGATGCATGTCCTATAATGACAATAAACACCAATGTTGTGCTGCAAGAGCCCCTCAAGTCATTGCATTTGTGGAAAATGTCACACGCCTAGAAAATGTCCAATAGCTGTCTAAATGTGACAGCATTATATTTGACAGGGTGCCCTGTGTGACCTTTAGCATCCACTTTGTACATCATTTGTCAGGATGATTTGCTGCAACAACCTACTGATCTCATGAGTGTAAAGCAATTGGCAGGAAATAACATGGTATAGGTAGGAGAATAATGCTTCAAGTGAAACAGTGAAAGTGCAAACTGTGGTCCATCATTTACCTTAACCACTATTGTGGATGAGGAGTTTGTCGACTTCTACTTTAATTAAAAAAAAAAAAAAAAAGCTAAATAAAATTGGTCCCTTATTTACAACAGACACTGAAGTTGAAAACTTGAAGTTGGTTATTTGTCCAAGGTAAAAGAAAATAGGCTACCTGACAATTAGTTGGCACAATCAGTTCAAGTTTGATTTGATTATCTGATTGAATTACATGGGGAAAACTCCCTCTGTAAAATATAGGCATTTATGAATATACATTCATTGGTAGTATTCATGGTTTTTGACAACAAGACACCTTTTGTGGATTACCAGAAATAGAGCAACAATAACTGCTTTTGTGGATTACCAGAAATAGAGCAACAATAACTGCACAAGTATGCAAAAGTATGTAAAAGTACAAATCGAGATGCACCACTATATAGAGTACATAAAGTACAGGGATATTAAGGGCATATTGTGTCATGGCTGGATGGAAATCACGGAAGTGCGCAGGAACAACACCGGTCAGCTCGGTGTCTCCTGGCCAGTCAGGGCGATCAGGAAACAAACCGGATGAATAATACACAGTGTCGGCGGTCACATGTCGTGCAGCGGGCTGCTGAATGATTTAAAGCTTTTTACATCATCAGCCTCACCCTCCCTCCCCTCCCTCGCCCTCCCCTCCCCTCCCGCGCTGGCTCCCGCTGATGCACCGCGCAGCCCGGAGATGCTGCTGCTGATGCTGGTGACCGACTGCAGCATCCGACATGGGCATCCTTTAATCCGGCCGTGACACAGTGAGTGTTTTTCCACCACTTTTTTCTCTTCCTCTCATCCTCTCGTTATCTCCAAATAGATTACCCCTTCACCCCTCTCCCCCAGTGACTCCCCCCCACTCACTCCTCCTCCTCCTCCCTTTTTTTGTTGTCTTCCTTTGTGCAGTTTTTTTTTTTTTTTTCACGAGCGATGGCGCATAACGCGGCGGAAACCGTGCGTCCTCGTAGAGGTGATGTTTTAGTGAGTGGACGGAAATGTCGCTTCCTGCATGTGCACCTTAACGGTGTGAGTCTTTGCGTGAGAGAGAGAAAAGAAGAGAGAGTTTAGGGCGGGTGTCGCTTTTCCCACCGGACTAGAGCTGCAGCAGGCTACGGTTGGAGTGTCGTGAAGAGAACTGGAAGAGACAGAGGGGCGTCTGGGACCCGACTGAGAGAGGGTGGGACGTTTAATTAAGTGTTTTTGCAGGTGAGAGTATGTGTAGTTATTGCTTTGCCTATACAGACTGTGTTTAGGTGTGTCAGGGGGAGAGGAGAGAAACAAAGATGCCTTGGTGTAAGTTTCTGTCTTTATGCTCAGGATAGGAGTGGAAAAAAAGGGAGCTTTTTCATGATGTAATAGTGTCAGGGTATAGGGTTTCTTATCTGTTATCATTCCTCATGTTACTCTAAAAAGGGTAAATGATCATATAGACTAAAATAAGCTTTTTGCAAGGACTGACTCGGTATCTAATGTGAAGAAAAATTCTGATTTATTACAGTCTGTCTGCCTCTTTGTTTGGGCACACATTCTGCTCTGTCAAGCAACATCTATCTATCTATCTATCTATCTATCTATCTATCTATCTATCTATCTATCTATCTATCCATCTATCTATCCCCCCATAAAAACAGTGAGGCAACCTACTGTGCTGCTGGATGCATATGTATGTGTCTATGTGAGGACAAGAGCACTCAGACACTGAAAGCCTCAAGCTGTGGAACTGGGCTAATCCCTAATGACATGGTCAGATCTCCCTCTCTCCCCCTCTCTCCCCCTCTCTCTTTCTATCAGCCATAAGGTCCGGACTCTCTTTTTTTCCTCCTTAATTCTTTTTTTCTCGTCCCTCACAGTCAGTTGGGAAGGCGTGCTGTCCGTGGTGCTGAAAACAGTCATCATCAGATCAGCTCGCTAATATGCTCGAGCTTGATAGCCCTGTCAGTGCTCAACAGGTGCCTATTACTTACTGTAAGAGACAGCTGCACAAGAATAGAGAAGGCTGATTTTTATTTTAATTCAACTACTTTTAGATGGAGGTTGTTTTCGCATGCTAGAGCTGTGGGTCCTTTTGTTTGAAAATGGCATATTTACTACAGAGAAAGTGATTAAATTGCCAACATAGAATTAATGATGGCATAAAATTGGAACAAGTAATACTTTTTGAAGCAACAAAGGCAATTCTGGTCCTTGGCTAACAAAATTAAGACACTTTTTCATGCTTGGTCAACTATATAATTTTAATGTCATTTTTGGATTCAGGTAATACTCCAAAATTCAGGAAATAACAAAGGAGAAAGAACTTTTGGAAGGTTTCTGCATGACCCATTGGGAACACTATCCTGATATGAACATGAATACTGCTTTAGTTTCGAGAATACATGGGCATTTACATAAGGTTTCATTCTAGCCTCCCTAAATATAGCGCCAAGAAAAACATGATGATGATGTCAACAACAATAAGAAGTACAACATTAAAATTATATAACTGACCAATTTAACAACTGCAGTTCTCTCTCTCTCTCTCGTGCGCGGACTCTCGCTCTCTCTCTCTCTCACACATACACACACACACACACACACACACACACACACAGATTCACACACACAAGACATCCAGGTCTCACATCAGAGGACTCAGAGTCACATGTAGGGCCACACCACTGGAGCAGCTTGATGTGCAGTGATTTGCGACTTTCTTTTTGGTTGTTTATTTGGCTGAATATTTTCATTTTGAAGAGGTGTGTTTCTGAACATCAAAAGATACAATGTTTTAGTATTTTTTGGGGGGGTGGGGTGAGAGATGTACCTATCAAATGCACTATCTGCCTTTATTAGGTAGAGATAGTGTACAGGGAGTGAGGGGGAAAGGTCTTCAGCCGGATTTGAAGGAATGGTGTCATAGCCCCTAAGCCCTAAAGAGTACAATCTTTATTTATCTAGTATTTAAGCTTTTTAAACAGTCCCCTACACATATAAAAAGTAATTAAAAATGTTCCTTCAAAGTAGTTAGATTTGCAAGATGTGTGATACTGCATTACCCCCCCCCCTTGTTAGCCCAGCCGATAAGATAAGATAAGATAAGATAAGATAAGATAAGAAAACCTTTATTTGTCCCACAATGGGGAAAAAAAACTTTATGAAAATTTCACACTGTACCTTGCAATCCATTTTAAAAGCTAGTAAGTTTTGATGAACAGAGACCACTTTGGCTATAAGAAGTAACTATGGAACAATGACAAATGCTAACATTTAGTGTGAAAGTAGCAAAGTAGAGAAGGGAAAGTACACAAACTGTACTGGCTTTCTAATCAGGCGATATCTATCTTACCATTTCCAACATTAGCATTCACTAACTTGCTCCCATGAGCTAACTGGACATACCAGACCAAGGAAATAAAACTCCTCAGTGTACTGAATGGAGCAAGGGTGGGCTTTAAAACTATTTTTTTTTCACTTTTAAAATTAATGAATGTCTTTTTTCTTCTTTCAAAAGCCACACAGTGTCGCTTTAAACCTGCAATAACTGTTTTTTTGGCCACTTGAGGGCAGCACAAACAAATTGTAAACACTGACATATTATTATCTTTTACACTGATAGGGTGACCTTATGAGCAAACATTTGCTTATTTGCACATACGGCAGTTACGGAGCAACATCACGATTTATTTGACTACCTCATGAATGTAAGTTCAACTACTCTTTTTCATTCGATCTGTTTTTGGTCTCTACCAACTCCTGAGGAAAATATCTGGCTCTTTTGCTGCTAAATTCTCCACTTTGTTCACCAGCTACTCTCTAACTGTGTGCTTGTTGTTTAGTGCTTTTTGAGCTTTGTTCACTGTAAAAACAAACATTATGAGAGCGGTGAAAGTGAAGCAAAACAGTAAGCTCCATAAGGGAGGCAGAGGGAAAAAGGTTCATGTGGTAATTTGATAAAGTTCATCAGTATAAGCGACTCCATTCATATTGTCACATTGTTTTGCATTATCATTTTTTATTATAAAAATATAGAACATAGTCGTTTTAAGCCACAAGCCAAAAAAATAAAGAAAAAGCTCACAATACACATAGTAACTGTGTAGCTCCAGGGTTTACGAAATGCTGCTGCTCTCATATTTATCTTTATTAAGGATAATGGATGCTGAGTGAAAGCGTGTCTGTGTGTGTGTGTGTGTGTGCGCGCGCGTGTGGGTGTGCGTGTAATACAAGATAGACACTAGAGAGAATTGATGTTTCATAGAGAAATGGTAATGTTTATGTGCCTATTTAGAAAAATCACACATGAAAGATTTCTCTATGGCAGATAAATACTTTACATTTACTGATGTCATTACTAAACTCTAAATGTAAAATACAGATGTGACTCATGCAGCAGAAATAAACACACACACACACACACACAAAACTATAAGCCTTTATATTTATGAATGGCTGACTGGCCCCTACCTCCCTCAGATGCTGCTCAGCACTGACGTCAGTGAACCTGCCTGCGCATAAAGGCTAATATAATCAGAACCTCACAAACACACACACACACACACACACACATTGTCTCTTTGTTTGTATCTGTCAGCAGCGCAGACACACACATACACACCTCTGGTTACTGGTCTAACAGGCACTAAAGCGAGAGAAAAGAGAAGGAGAGACAAAGAGAAGAGACAAATAGAAAGAGAGACAGATAGAAAGGGAGACAGAAAGAGACTGGAGGGCTAGTGTGTGGGAGGTAGGTGGCCTTTATCATTATCATTACATTGTAATCTGATTTCTGTTTTACATTTGTGACTGTCGTTTCTTCCCTACAGGTATATCTGTAGTTTTGAATATACCTAGCTTTTTTTTATGCTTTTCACCTTAATCTTAAAATGTTGATTCCAATTCTAACGTTATTACATTGATGCTCAGGGACCAACTAAGTTGAAAGCTGTAACATTTAAAATCATGTCTAAGCCTAGTCCACAGGTATTATCCTAAACTCCATTTGTTTGTTCTGTTGCCTTCTGCTGTATGAAAAGCTGTGTTCATTTATGTTTTTTCCACTTTCAAAACCAACATTTATCTGTTTGACTGCCAGTTTGCCTTAGTTTTCAAAAGACATAGGCTTCCAACATTTTAAAACCCATTACAATAGCAGAGACATTCTGTTGCAATGACAAACACAGTCAATCATTTTGCAGATGGACAAAGTAGTTTCAACCTGTAAAACTGATTGAGAAGAAATCACTGCATGCCTCTGAGGTTTTGCCCCAATTATCCCCCGTAATAAGGCCTCCTTCTTCTCTTTTCAGTGTTCAGTGAAGTGTCCTTCAAAAAAGACAGCTACAGGGGGTGGTAAAAAAGTAACCCAGTATTTGCAACTTCAAGTCTTCCAGAAGATAAAAACCTTTAAAACATGGTCCCATTGAAAATAGTAATCAGAAACTAATATAACATGGATTTGTCTGAAATTGCTTTATGCTTATGTTTTTTTTAAACCAATGGACACTCTTTAAGAATTTGATTGGTTTCTTAAAAAAAAATATCATGAACCATATATAACATATTGCAAACTGCAGCTTTTACTTGTAATCAACAGTAGTTATGAGGTTCTCCTTTTTCACAAAACGGCTGCTAAGATGACACCGTTATTCTCTCAGTAATAAAAAGACCAGGTACATCACACCAACATTTTGGATCTCCATTTAATGTCATTAGAAATGACTCACTGAGTTTTTAAAATATCAAAGAAACATGCTCTGATACCAGCACAAAGTAAACTGAGTAAAGTATATATATCACACAATAATCCAATGGAAGACTGAGAATCGTCTCCTAATGACCATGGGAACCTTACCATCATCTTTCACTCCCTTGGAGAGAAAAAAAAGCACAGGCTCTTGGTCTTCATAGTGGTGCATGCTATGTTAATCATTAAAGTCAAAAGTTGGATTGAAAAACTTGTTGTTGATGGACAAACACTGGGGTTCAAGCAATTTTATCTATTTAGTTGCCATGGTAAAGCACTCCAAGGCCAGTCTCTGAGAAGAGAGAAAAAGAAAGGCAGAAACTAAGTCAGCCAGAGAGTGAAGGGGAGGTAATACACTTGAGAATGTAGAGAGGGTAACAGGTGAAGGTGGAATCGATGAAATAAAAAGGACCATCAACTGTCAGCAGAACATAGTAGTGTAGTAGTGTCGACAACAGGCACCACACTCATTTGCTGGCAAACA